AGACCCGAGACCCGACCCGACCCAAACTCATCGGTTCTCGATTCGGATACCCGTTCGGGTATTTAATTTATGAAGAACCGCTCGATTCGGTTCGATCCGGTTCGGTTCTGGACTTTTGGATACCCCTACCCGCAACACAGCAACAAAATATGCATTCTGTCACTATGCAATAATCTGTAGCGAATTCACTCGATCTAGTGTTAATTATTTGGCATCATAGTCTCGATGTTCCTATAGTATCATTGCAGCCAATTTTTCCCATTTTGGGTAGTCTCTTACATGATGAGGTACCTTGCAAATATAACAACCATAAAAAATTTCCGCTTGCCTCAGGAAGTTTTCACCATCTTTCGATTTCGAACGTTGTTCCTTCCATTTTTCAGTAGTCTTCAACACATCTTTCTATTGGTCATCATTCTCGTTTCTACACTCAATTCGCTTTCTCACTGAAGCATTATTACCCAATCGTAATTCGACCAAAGCATTAGCCGCAACAATGGCCGATTTCATATTCTTTACAACCTACCAATGCAATTCAGTATGTGCCCATGCTTACAATCTTGACATAAAGTTAAAGAGTTTGTCCTTCTTGGACATGTTCTTGATGTCCAACATCAATGAACAAAATTCATTCATATATATATTTATACCATGTTTGTTTACTTTATATTCTGCAATACTTTTCGTGCAATCTATGTTATATTATAATAAATGAATTGATCCTTCAATTTTTTCTGTAATATTTCCCAAGTCAAAAGATTTTGCATTTCCGCAGTCATATCTTCCTACAGTCGAGTTCTCCATGCACGCGATGTCCACCCGATCCTCTTTGCCGTATCTCTCTACTCCAACGTTTTTTGAACGTTGACGTAGGCTTTTTTTGTTGTACATGTACCACGTCGTAAAGAAAATTCTCTAGTTTCTTGGCACTCCAAGTACCATCTAACGCTGTTAGCTCTGGCCTTTGATTTTTTAGGTCACCACAAAATCCTTTGGAGTAGGAGTTGCCCATTTCAGCAATATTACTTCGCCTTCCAGTAGTCCAAGGAGAAAATAAATGTTTTTAGTCAAGGTCATGACGTCCCTCAGCATGGACGTGAATTTTTCATTCATCTTCACGATGAAATTTTCGAAAACATACCGCATTCTGGCTAGATTCTGCCTTAACTTCCTTTGCCTATTTCCCAAACTGACAGCATCATCCGAATCGGGGCACCCACGAAATCCTCAAGCATCCCAGCCCAATCTTTTAGATTTTAATTTACAGCCTTGAAATAATGCACCATGACCTAAAGAAAATTCTCAAACTTCTTAGCACTACGGTCACCGTCAAACTCTTTTACCTCAAATACTTTAATTTTCGAGGTACTACAGAGTCCTTTAGAGCAGGATGACCCATTTGAGCAACGTAACTTCCCCTTCTAGCAGTCCAAAGAGAGAAGAAAAGTTTCAAGTCAGGGTCATAACGTCCCCTAGCATGGACGTAAATTTTTCGTTCATCTCCGCAACGAAAGTTTCTAAAATTTGTCCCATTTCGGCCAAATCCTGCCTCATTTCCTCTACCAGTGCCGCCAAATTGACAACATCATCCTACATCGGGGCACCCATGAAATCCTCAAGCATCCCGACCCCGATCTTTTAGGTTTTGATTGTTAGCCATCTCATTGTTTCCCAACAACTTGTAAAAACGTCAATTTCATGTTTCCTGTGATGTCGTCTAGGTTCCGTCCCCAACCAATCAATACACATTTTTACACTTCTGATAATGAAATCTCACAAAATTTGTCCGAGTAGAAGATTGAATATGAAAAGCAATACAGAAACACAAATTTTATGGGAATCATCCCAACTTTATTTCTCAACCAAAACAAAGAAAAACGTACATAGACATGAAAGGGCCAACAAAATACTTGTTGTCTCCATGAAACTTAGCCAATATAGTGTCATCAA